CTCCACAAATACTCCACTTATAAGGTATCTTTTCCTTTTGATAAAATTCACGAAGTCTACAGTTCTAATATTTGGCCCAAAGGAGCTGTCATTGGGATATGTAACATCAACACAAATTTTCAGCACAAAAAGAAGACGGAGGAAGAAACCTAGAAGCCTCGACAAACTTTTATCAAAATAAACTAATTCGACAAGGTACGGTAAGCATGTTTCATGTTATTTTGCAGTGTATTTTAAATAAAGTCGATATGATTAATGCTATTACAAACTTTTGTATGACGTCATATGTTTTTTCGGAGCACTGGCAATTTGAATCTTGTTTTTCTGACCATCGAGCTCAATTTTTATTCATTGACTGTGAGCATAAAGTTGACAATAATCAAACTTTTCGACGGTTTATTAGTTCTTTTTGTTAACAGAAGCTTAAACGTGCACTTGCTAGTACAAATATGGACTTTTTCTATGATATTAATTCCAATAATAAACCTAGAGACTGCTAAAAAATAGTAAATTTCGAAATAAATTACACAAGATCTAGTTCGGTAAAACCCGATCTACCTCTAGACCAAATAAATCAATTTTTTACTACAATTGCAGAAAATATAATTACATCTCTTCCCACTATTAATGTCGATGTACTCTTTAATTATAGAGATTATCCTTCTCCGAGCAAGTCCTTTTTTTTTATCCTGTTGTTGAAGAAGAGGTCTCTCAAATAATAAAGTCTCTTAGTAATAATTGTAATTGTAGGGACGTTTACGAAATTAATAACAAAATTGTAAACGAAACTTACCAAATAGTTTTTAACACCTTCCGCTTATCTTATTAATTTAATTCTATCAACTCAAGTACTTCCAGAAGTACTAAAATACTCAAAAACTGACAATTACAGACCCATAAGCATTGTTTCTAATTTTGGGAAAGTTATTGAAAAGGTTATCAAATAACAATTTTATTCCTATTTTGAATCAAATAATTACTATAGCAACTCACAATATGGATTCAGAAGTGCTAGTTCTATTACGAATGGGTATTTAATGTTGTAAGCGAGATTATTGAAGGGCTTGAACACGGCAATCGCATAGCAATTTCTCTTTGCGACTTTTGATTGCGTATCACACGCCATTTTGCTCCACAAATTAAAATATTATAGAATTCGAGGCATCGCTCTCAAGCTTATTAACTTTCTTATCTATGTGGCAGACACCAGGCGGTAGTGTCTAAAGGTCATCTCTCCGATTTTCTATCCGTAAAACATGGAGTAAAAGAAGGATCGGTCTTAGGACCTCTTTTATTTATTACTTGTGTCAACGATTTGACTAAATTCATATCTCCGTACAAAACCATACTATTTGCAGATGATAGTTCTTCTTAGGGTGCCTGTCCCTTCCGAACGTTGGCGATCATTCTGGCTATGATGACTTTGTTGGTTGCTATACGAAATAGCTGTGTTGAGGTCTTTCTATACCATGCTCTCAGGTTAGCAAGCCAGGATATTCTTCTTCCTCCTGGGGCTATTCCTTCAATTTTACCTTGTAAAATACATTAAAGTAGCTCATATCTGCCTTGATTTCTCATTATATGGCCCAAATACTGCAGCTTACGGCCCTTCGCGATGTTGACCAAATCCGCAATTGTGTTCATTCTCCGCAGTACTTCCTCATTGGTGACTTTGTCTGTCCATGGTATCTTCAAGATCCTTCTGTATGAACATAGCTTAAAAGCCTGACGTTTTGATAGAGTTTTAGACTTTAATTGTCCATGTTTCTACTCCGTACAGCACTGAGTACACATAACATTTAAGGAGCCTTATTTTTGTTTCTAGGGTGAGATACGAGCAGATGATACGACATACGGTATATCAGCAAAGTTTGGTTATATCTGCAAGTAATTTACACAATGGTCTAGTTAACAAAGAGACTATTAAACTATTGGGAATAACCATAGATAATCGACTGAACTGATCGGCTTATATCTCACAACTTAAGAAAAAGCTATCAAGTTCATTATTTGTTATTCGCCAACTAGCAAGGGTTGTCAGCTTTGAACTAATAAAAATTACATATTTTTCTTTTATTCCACTCTCACCTAAACTTTGGTGTAATTATATGGGGCAATTCAACAAATGCACTTCAAATTTTTAGAATGCAAAAGAAAGCTGTCAGGGTTTTAGCAGGGGTTAGTTATCTAGAACACTGCCGACCTTTCTTTATCAAACTCAAAATTATGCCGCTACATACCATGTTGATATTTTAAGTTAAAACTGAAATTCACAGAAAACGTGCCCATTTAATAAAGCAGTATGACGACCATGTTCACAATACGCGAAACTGTCACTACCTTCGAAAAAATCGCTGTAGATTAAGTCTTCCAAAAAAAAGTTGTCCTAATTATAACTATTACACTATTTTACCAAAAAGTAATAAACAGCTAAGTTGTAATAGTTTCGATAAGTTATAAAAAAATATCTTCTAAAACATGGTTTTTACTGATCGGAAGAATATATGACTCATTGCAAAACATCCACTGAACTGCTTACTGTAACTTTGCTATAAATGTTATTCTGTTTTATGTGTTCTTGTTTGTATTGTTTGATTTCTAACTATGTTATATTGGGTATTAAATCTGATCCTTGGTTTAACTGAAATTAAAACTCCAGTTTTTACTGTAATTAAAGGATGCGTTTTGGTATCTTTTTCTCTTGATCTAAGTAGCTTTGTGTAGAAATCTTCGACTATTGATAATATTTCATCTTTATTCGTATTTTCTTCCGCTCTCTTTTCTTAGTTTCTTTATTTCTATTTTCCCTTTTGCATGCTACCTCCCTCAGCTTTCATGTCCGTATTTTTCTCTATTGCTTGTTTAGTTTTTTCTACTTTAAAGTTTCTTATGTATTTTCTTATTGCCTTAGTGCTTGTATTAATTATTTTATTTAGGGTTTCTTTGCTTATACTCATATCTACCGTCATCTGTCGCCTTAGTTCTGTAAGAGTTTTCGTAGATTGACTTAGTTTTTTATTCTTTTTGTTTGTTGGACCATGTTTAGCTGGCACCTGTTCAACCTGAGCCTGAACAGGCTCAAACTAGTAAATAATGCACAAGATTAAATAAAAACATAGTTAATTTTAAAGCCTCTAACAGATAATTTTGGTAATTTTTATTAAAGTGGATTAAATTTTTTTACACTTAATATTGTTATTTCTGTTTTCGACTTATAATTATTTTTTTTTCTTGGGAATAACCCGCATCAACCAAGATGGTTATTAGGCTTAGAGTTACAATATAGATTGTAATATATTATAGTGATTAATATAAAATATAAACTATAAAGTTTTTACAAAGTTGATTAAAATTTAAAATTTTTCTTGAAGTATTGCTTATATTTGATTATACAATTTCGTTTTCTTTAAAAACCTAATGATTTTGTCACAATCCGTACTGTCTAAAGCGCACTTTATATCACTTAGTAGTCCAGTAGCTTGTCGTTTTATTTGATATAATGGACAGTCTATAACAATGTGGCCTACAGTTATATTGGTGTCACAGGCGTAGCATATTCTAGGAGGTTTCTCTTCCTTAGTAGGTGTTCGTGCATCAGTCTGGTATGTCCTATTCGGATACGATGTAGTACAACCTGGTCCCTTCGCTTTACTAAAATTGGTGTTTTCGCTGATAGATCTGGGTTTACTTGCCGCAATTTATTATTTGGTAAGAGTTGCCATCTTCGTAACCATAAGTTTTTTGTGTACTTCATTGATGCATTTTTTCATATCTGAGTGAGGAATTTGGTTAGTTCTATCATCGGATATCTCCATTTTACAAGCTTCTTTGGCCATTTGATCAGCTATCTAATTTCCTAGTATCCCACATGAGAATGGTATCCACACAATATGTAGTTGTTTATGATTATTTTGTAGATCACAAGACTTTTTTAATCTGTTCTAAAATCGGATGATTCGGATATATTTTCTGAATTCCCTGTATTGCACTTAAGGAATCTGTGAATATTACTGTTATGTATTCAGGTCGATTAAGAGTTAGTTGTACTACTTTGGATATCGCAAAAAGTTCAGCAGAATATATTGAGTAGCCTTAGGTAGTGGAAACTTGAGCACAGAATCCTCTGTGATAATAGCAGATCCTACTGTTTCCAATTCGGGTGGTTTTGATGCATCGGTATAAACTAGTTGACAGAATGAATATTTATTTTTAATATTGTAGAAGTATTGAAAAAAAAAAGAGATGAAGGGGTATTGTCCTTAGTATAAGTTGACAGATTTGTGTTACAATATGGAATTTCTATAGTCCAAGAGGGAACATAATCAATATAGGTATGCATAATACCCGGAAATGTGAAGTTGCTAATTCTTTTGCTAAATGATGGTCGAATATTAGGATTTTGAATGTAATTAGAATATAATGTTAATGTAATATGTGAAGAAAGCATAGAGGTAGGCTGTGTTATTTGGATTAGTTGATAGCTTGCTTGCATATTGTAAACTGAGACGTAATCTTCTAATAGAAAGTGGAGATTCATTTGCTTCAACATTAAGACTTTCAACTGGACTAGTTCTGTAGGCTCCTAGAGCTAGTCTTAGTGGGGTATTTTGTACAATATCTAATTTTTTTAATGTCGAGTCCTTAGCCGAATTATATACCACATATCCATAATCTAATTTACTGCGGATTAAGGATTTGTAAATATTTAGTAGTTGTGTTGTGTCTGCGCCCCTGTTATGATTTGCTAATACTTTAAGATATTATGTTCGAACATGATTTTTTAAGTAATTGGATGTATGGTTCAAGTAAGTTTTGAATCAAAACCATACCTAGAAATCAAGTTCCCCAAGGTTTCTTAAACTTGATCATAAAGTGTTAATTTTGAAAGATTTACAACAACTTGATGTTTTGGATAAAAGCTCATGACTTTGGTTTTAAACCGTAGAAAATTTCAGTCCTGTTCTTTTAGACAATTCTTGTAGGGAATTAATAAAATAATAATTATTATTTAAAGTTATTTATTTTTCAAAAGAAACATCTTTAATTTTTAATATTGAATATTAAACTTAAATGATTAACAATCTTTTACACATTTTCCGCTGTTGGTATCTCTAAGGTATCCTGCGGCACAAACGCATTTAGTTTTACAAATATGAACACAAGGTTTATTACATGGTAGAGCTACTTTGTTTTGGCAAGTTACTTCAGATTGAGGGCAGCAGGGTTCACAGCCGTGTGCCTCGTTTTCGCCACATTGAAGTAAAGCTGTTGTATCTAAAATTAACAAATAAATTTTAATATTTCATCTCAAAGAATTTATTTGTAATAACTATTTCCTTCATAACCGTTCTCCTGAGAAGGAGAAGGATCGAGTGACTGACGTCATCGAAAGGATACCCAGACTAAAATGGAGAGTAGCATGACACATACTTAGAATAACGGATGGTCGGCGGACAAAGAGGTTATTGGAATGAAGGTAAAGAGAAGACAAAAGAAGTCAACCATCTACACGATGGGTGACGCTTTAAGTGAAGAATTTTAGTAAATAATTTTTAATTGATTTTAAAAGTCAAAATAGACTCAGCACTTTTACATTTTGGAAGAAAAGTGGAAAAAAGTATGTACTTACTGTAATCGCTAGAAGAAGGTATTAAAACTAAAGAGATTTTAAACCTGTAATCACGACCAGCCATCTTAAATGATCACAATGTTACTTAAACTTTTCTCATGAATGAGAAAAGTTCTTTAGTCAAATCGATATATGAAATTAGAAACAAAGAAAAAAACAAGATTTCTAAAACAACATAATAAATAATATAAATATACTTTGATAACATTCCAATAAAAACACTAACAAATAAATTTATGTAGGATTATAATTTGAAACTAAAATTGAAATGAAATATATATATATATATATATATATATATATATATATAAATATATATATATATATATATATAAGCGAGGTTCCTACAGCCTCTGCCGCTTCTCGTATTTCGACCGCCATCGTTCTCTGTCTATCCATTCGTCCTCTGTGATGGCTCTATCTCTCATTAGGTGTCATACATTTTGTTCCCAGGCAACTGATGGTCTTCCCCTTTTTCTTCTTTTATTGTGGTATGTAATTTAAAGCTTTCTTTGGCCATCTATCTTCATTCATTCGCTTCACGTGACCATACCACACTAGTTGTCTCGTTTCAATTCTGTCTACACTGGAATATACAGTATTTGTCCTTCTCTATCTTTTATAGTGATCTGCCAAACTTCTGCCCCATAAGTCATAATGGGCTCTACCAAGGTTCGATAGATTGTCAATTTTGTTTCTTGTCTAATATCTTTAGACCATAGTAGAGAGTTCAGAATGTTAACCGCTTTTTCCCTGCTGCGTCCTGTTTTCGATGTCTCTTTTGGTAGTGCCTTCCTTAGATATTACAGATTCGAGATATTTATATTCATTGCATGTTTTTTGTGTTTCTAATTTCTAACTCTGGATCTTCTTTGTCATCTTCTATTTTAAATTGAATTTTAAAATGAAAATTAAAGTTAAAAATTGAAATTAGTGTATAAAGTCTGTTGGCCACTGTCTCTTCAATCTTCATCTGACTTCTGGTTGAAGGTGTAGTTGTCTTGTTTCCTCGTTGGGGTGGGTTGGCAGATGTTCTAAATAATTTATTGTTGGTCTGCTGATTTCGTCTTGAACGAACGGTATACCAGAATCATCATGCAGTGAAAAGCCAGATTTTTATTTCAAGAAATAAAAATAAGAGTAAAGCCAGTACAAAGCCTCACCAAACTGTTATAAAAGATGAAAAAGAAATATATATATATATATATATATATATATATATATATATATATATATATATATATATAAATATATTATGATGTGGTTTTCTCCGGGTTTGACTACGCGTTGAATAATTTTAATTTTGATAAAAACCATCGTTTTGACTACATTTCGGATTGGAGTGTCTTTTAAATTCTAAATTATGTTTGAATAAAAAATAAAATACCCTACGACAATTCTTACACAAAAATTCAAGGGGAAATGGTGAAGATATTACTATAAAGGAGATAACGGCCAAAATAAAAAATTGCTCCGAAGTTCTGCTTCGAATTCTGTAGTCATCAAGCATAATTTGCTTTGTGAATTCATTCCGAATACCTTTCATGGATCTCCTTTTTTTTTGTTAGAAACCTAAACCTTTAATTACAAAACAAGTACTTTAGTTTCAGATGAAAACTACTTGATTGTTTACTAGCACTGGCATGTGTAAAAATCTACCCTGCTTTTTCGCCTTGCCAGTACAGAAAAACGAGCTACTGGCATGCCAATTACTAGCAAATGTGATTTGTGCTTACCAGTTACTGACCTATGCCAGCAACTGGCATACCAGCTACTCGTTCAATTTACTGGCATGTATATAGCCCGGCTTTACTTGAGACAAATAGCAATAAAACTAGCGAAATAGGTATACTTTTACAAGATAAAAGAAGAAACGACTGTTTGTTGAGACAATTACAAAGTTAACGTGGAAGTTTGTAATTAAAATGTTGTAACTTGAGACGACAACATAGGTTACAAAAATGATTAAAGAGAAAATATCATTGTCGAGGAATAAGTAATAAAGGAAGTTATAAGATCTAACAGTAACGGAAGTACAGTTTAGAAGCGAGTAGAGAGATCTGTGTTTAATTTTGGATTTTCGATGGCGAAAAGTCAGGAAGTATAATTCAAAATTGGTTTAAGGTAAGGTTAAGTTGGCACTCATAGTTTACAAGTCTACATCCTCACAAAGGTAAATATTAAAATAGTCTATTCCAATCCATATTCAATCAAAAAATATGTAATACACAAAGAATTAACGGATTAATGATGTCAGAGTCATTAAAGAGCAAGTGGAATGAAAATGTATACCTATAAATATATTAAAATTTTAAAAACATCTTCAAATGTATACTATAAAATTTATATCTACAAAAAGTAGAGGTTAAAATTATTAGTCTTACCAGTTACGGCAACAACAACGATGACCATAAAAATTGCAACAAATACAGGTTTCATTTTGAATTAGTGTGGGTATTTTCTAATAGTGACAAATATACAAACAATTTAGTTTAATTGTAGTGTAGAGTGTAATTTATATAGGTATTAAAGCCGACTAGTTTGTTAATTTAATTTGTTAAAACAAGATAATATTATATTTACGCAGGACCGCATTTTAGCTTTTAGCAATAATCTATCTATATAAAAGGCTAGGATGAAAAGTCACACCGTTTGTCCAGTAATGTAACTACGCCACCTAAGAAAGAAATGTGAACTATAAACATACATACTTACATTTTAATCATATTTTGTTTTTGATACGAGACGGTTGATTTAGTGCTAATCATTTACAAAACGATGATTAAAATATTCTTTCATCGAAAATTTTAGTACTTCACAGATACCTATTACCTTTTTCATAAACTAGATACAATATAATTATAAGGTGAGATCGTAATGACATATAATATACAGTGTGTAAAAGCCAAATGGAATAAATTCATTATTTAGGTTACTGTACATATTTATAAAAAATCCCGAAATACGTCAAATTTAAATTATAACTTGACATTCTTTATCGTGAAAATGCAACCTCTACCTTCAACCCCCTTAGAATGACAGGTACAACCCCCAATTTTTAAAATAGGAAGTATAGGCTTGTGATATATCGTTTGAAAGGTCTTTTCATTCTCCATTTAAAAATGTTGTCGCTTTCAATTTTATTAAGATTACTAAAGATAAAATAAATTAAAATCATGTGGTTACCGAAATTCGATAAAATATACTAAAAACTTATTTCCCGTTTAGGTCTTGATGATAAGAAAGTGAACAAAAACCATAGCAATGTGGTTTTTAGATGGTAACCATTTAAAATCTTTGAATTTCCGTGACAACGTTAATTTAGCACGCATTAGTAAATTGTTTTATTTAAGTTGTCAGTAATTTTAATTTAAGTAAAAAGTTCGTTTAATTCAATTTTGAACTGAACGAACTGGGCCACGGAAAAACTTCACTGGATGAGCGAATCACACACTCAATACCCTTAAAAGGTTAATGTTTGGGCAGGGATTGTAGGAAACAATATCATTGGTATTTTCATTGAGGGCAACTTGAATGGCAACAATTTTTTGGCTCTACTTCCAAATGATGTCATTCCAACGTTGGCAAATCTATATCCTAATCCAGGAAACCAGTTCCAGCGAATATGATATGGTTTCAGCAGAATGGAGCACCACCACATTACCAACTTAATGTCCGGCAGTAACTCGATACAATATTTCCCAATCGGTGGATAGGGAGGCGAGGATCGATTGAATGGCCACCGCGATCACCTGATCTTTCATTATCAGATTTCTTTTTATGGGGATATGTGAAGAGCCATGTGTACAAAACTAAACCTTCTGATTTAAATGACTTAAAAGAACGAATAACGCTTGCGATTAGGTAGATCACGCCTGTTATGTTAAATAATGTTAGAAGAGAGTTTTATTGCAAAATTACATTTTAGTTTTTGATTGTATTGTAGCGAATTTCGGTAACCACATGATTTTAATTTATTTTATCTTAATTAATCTTAATAAACTTGAAAGCGACAAAATTTTTGAATGGAGAATCAAAAGACCTTTCAAACGATATATCACAAGCTTATACTTCCTATTTTAAAAATTGGGGGTTGTACCTGTCATTCTAAGGGGGTTTAAGGTAGGGTTGCATTTTTAAGTTAAAGAATGTCAAGTTATAATTTAAATTTGACGTGTTTCGGGATTTTTTATAAATATGTACAGTAACCTAAATAATGAATTTATTTCATTTGTTTTAAACATAAAATAACCGTTTAACAATCGTCAAAGTTCTATCAAAAAAAAAATAATAATAATAAATGAAATTAAATAAAATTATACAAAATTAAATAAAATTAGAGAAAATTTAATAAAATTAAATAAAGGTAAATAGAATAAAATAAAATCAAGTTAAACAGCATTACGTAAAACTAAATAATAATTCAATAAAATTAAGTAAAATTAAATAAAATTAAATAAAATTAAGTAAAAGCTATATTTGAAAAAGGGCTACTATACCGTTTCTACTTCATTTTCCATGTAAAATCCCATAAGAAAATGTATAATCTTCATTCTGCTCTGTTATTGAGCGTTTTGTGGTGGGGGTAGAAAAGTTCGTCGGATCGTGACGCATAATACATCATTGGAAGGAAGGCTGTAGCGAATGTTAAGACAAAAAACACACATTGCGTAAATGCCAAAAGTGCATTGCATGATATCTCCTTTGTCATCGGCTCAATTGGAGCGTGTGTTGCGTTAAATAAAAGGGAAGGACATGAAGACTATATTAAGATAAAAAAAATAAACAACGCGACTGCCAAAAGGGCACTACACAGTTTCTTCATTACTATTGAACGTAAAGTACATACGAGATGTCATAGGCACTACGGATAAAAATAGTTTAACTAAAAGAGCAATTTCGCGTTATTGACTTAAAAAAAGCATCTGGCTAAGTACAAAATAAACAACTAGACGAATCGTAATATGCGACATAACAAATGAAAGGGGAGAAAATAACGAATATATTTACAACCGTCGTGACAATGTGTCCCACCGTGGGTCACACCGTTTCTTGCCAAGAGCCGTGCGTCTCCCACCCGTGAGTCATGATCTAGTGCATATTTTATCTAACCTAAAATTGTACAGTTTATTCTGAGTGTAAATTATGCTTAGTGTAAACACTAAAAGCTTTGAGTCAAAAAAGTATATTTGAAGTATGAAATGATTAAAAACTTAACTAAACATTATGACGTCTTGTTTTTTCTCCAAAAACAATGATATTTCCTCAAGTAAAGGAAAATACTAGTGACTAAACTTAAATTTATATTACAAAACATAATTATTTTAAATAAAGATAGAGATAACATATGTTTAGCAATAAAACACATTTTAATAAAAAAAAAAAAAAATAAACGCATACTACCGTGGCTGTGGTAACAATCTCAAAAATAACAAATAATTCTGCTAACATTATTGATACAGATTCTTAGCTACTCTTGGATTTCTTAAAACACGGAATACATAACGGCTGTCCATTGCAGTTTTCGCAAAATATAAGTATTAGTTGCTTTTGCCGATGCCATTTTCCTACCTTTCTCATCTTTAAGCCTTTTGTAGTAATAAGAACATCGTGCTTCTCGCATTTAATTCATATTTCCCTAGCCTATGGCTACTTTTACTTAGTTTTCTCGGACTCCTATTACACGGAACATCATGCTCTACTCTTATTTGTTTAGCGTCATTTTCTTCCGTATCGGATAGCAATCCTTTGTATAAGTTTTTCTCTAAATCGTAGCATGTCAAATTTGCTTTTAGCTTGGTTGTGAGAGCTATGTATCACCCATACATTAACAATGCATGTTCCGAGAATAATCTCAACCTTCTTTACCACTTAAAGTTTTTCGGAGGCATGTGTAATAAAAAGATATCTGATCTGAAAATGTCAACCTCTGTTTTTGGTCTGATTGTAATCAATGATAGCGGGGGGTTTTAGTACTTCTTCACCTTGTCGGTTTTTACGTCCACTCGGAATCAGTTCATTAGTGTGATGTGGTACAGTAGTTATCATTAGTACTTACCGCTTATCTACCCATTTTAAGACACGAACCCTATTTTCGTTCTGCTCGCCGTAAATATGTCCCTATTTCATCTTTTTAGTGCATAAATCTTTAGAATTCCCCTTCCTATTACTCCGTAAAATGCCACAGACATATGTTTTTTTCGGTTAAGAGGTCCTTGCATAGTTTGACACTTGTATAAAAGTTATCTATAAACAAAATTATTTTCGAATGTTTAAGATCCTGCATTAACTCCATCCATTTATTATATGTATGCCTCTGCGTGTTCGTTGCTATAGTGGCATCATTTTTTCTGCATAAATACGCAAATCGTACATATGACCTTAAGTGTGTACATATTTTATAGAGTTTCACTCTAATCAATCACGACTTTTTGATCGGGAACAAGTGTATCCTTAAACTGTTGACAAATAAAATTTACAACATCTTTTATTTTCGAGAGTCTGTCTTGGCCAGCTATGGATCGTTATTATTACAAAAGTGCAAGTATTTCAATAACTGGTCGAATCTGTTGCGATTCATAATTTCTTTTATTGGCTTATTAGCGTACATTTCATCATTAATTGACCAATAGAGGCGCATTTTTGGTATCTGATTAATCCCCATTATTAGTAAGATAGCTAGAATTTTTTTTATTTCTGCTTTGTTAGTATCTGTCCAAGTTTTCAACAGAGATCGTGGTCGCAGTGGCTTCGATTGAATGATCTGATATGCGTGTCTGTTAGTTTCCTCTACTATGATGTCAATGATTTGATTAGTAATAAACTGTATGTAGATAGCGTAAGGTTGAGATAAATTTAAATTGTTAACTTTTAAACCGGTTTCTACTTGGAACTGAAAATCTAGAGGTAAGTCTGTAAACGGTCCCCATTTGACAGGATTTACTTTTTCTTGTACGCCTGCATCGCTTACCAAACTGTTGCCACTAGAGTAATCATCAGAACTGATATTATCAGAAAGGGCATTTTTCATCACATCCTGATCATTTGAAGGCCTATAGGACTCTTCAGAATCCTCAAACGGGTCGAATCCTGAGGATGATAGATGTTGAAATATTTCTTGTGGTTCAGAAATAGAGGAACGTGGGTTTTCCGGAGATGCTGCTGGCGGATTTAGATATTTCGGTGATGCTGCAGTTGGACTTAAATTGTCTGTGGATGTTGCAGGTGAGCTAAGATTTCTCGGGGATGCTAGAGACGGACTTAAATTTTCCAGAGATACAGCAGTCGGACTGTGATTTTCTGGGAATGCTGCAGGCGATCTTCACGGATGCTGCTTCTTAAACAATTTGTCGATATGCTTTCTTCTGGGCAAGAGCCATTATTCTACGTGATCTGGAACATATTCTCACAAGTTTGCTACTCGGAACTGCTATTTAACGATTATCTGAAATAAAATAATCTTATGTATTTACCGCTTATCTTATGTTGATATAGGAATAACATTTGTTTAC